TCTCTCTCCCTCTCTCTCTCTCTCTCTCTCTCCCTCTCTCTCTCTCTGGCTCTGCCTTGTTGTTCTATGTTGTTGTGTTCTTAATATGTCAGTACTTTCCTCCAAATGAAAGGAGCTCTAGTGAAATTTAATACAATAGTTAATCTCAACCTTTATAGCCCTTTTGTGTTTTACAGCTCGTGCTAAACTCGAAAGCTTCTCATGTCATTTATGTTTTTCTTTTATCGTTATTTAAACTGCCTTTCATTGAAAACGTTTTTTTTAACTTACTAATTTACTTAGTAAAAGCACCTTTTCAAATGTCTTATTGTTTTTAGGTTTCCATATTTTACACGTTTAGCATTTAAGTTTGATAAGTGAGAATCAGTATTGCGGAATGATGTTACTTTTAAACAAAGAGGATTTAATGAGGCTCTAATGAGGCATTTTATTTGCACAGAACCAACGGCACATCTAATCGGCTTCTGATATTGTGTGGATATTATCTCGAATCTGAGTGGACATGAAGCCTCACCTCACAGTCTCAAAAAGTCACAAACTCTGACAAAAAATAAATAAATATGTTACTTAAGATCCTGGAAAATAAAAGCAAATGTAGCAAAGTCACTTAATCTAAATCAACAAATGAAGCTCGCCGGATGAATTAAGGTCTCTTTCTTGGGAAAGAGAGGAAGGGCGGCGTGACCGGGACAGGTTGGAAGGTGTGTGGAGTACCTTAGGACTTAGACAGGAATGGATAGAGGGAGAAAAAGAGAGACAGATGGAGAGATGGACAATTGTGATGCAGAAGCGCATGTGGGTATAGAGGACAATACAGAGCAGCCGTTCACGTCTCATGAACTTTCCACCTCTTTCTTTCTGTGAACCTACACTAAAGGTCAAACACACCTACTCTTTCTTTAATTGACTTTTTCACATTTTAATAGTAGTTGATGACTCAAGTGGAAATTTTAAACTAATTTATTTTATATAGACTTTAACATTTTGACTCCTCAATCAAGAAGTGGATCATAAATTTGGGAAGTGGGTCTCTCATCTTTCCAACATTCATTACTAACACTTTTCCACACTTCTGCATGTAAAGAGTGATTGAAGACTCTCGGTGGGGAAAGACAGAGAGGAACGAAGTCCCTCGCGCCAATTTTCAGACCAACGGGAACGTGCCGAGCACCAGGGTGCCTTTCTGAAAGTAACAGTTGCGTAAGGGATCCGACGCTCCCCTCCCTTTTCAGTGAGGATGGTTTTATGAAAACACCTTTGACTGAATGACATCCTGCGAAGTGATGTTGACATTCTTGTTGCAATCAACCATCAAACCCCAATCCGACTGGTTTCATCCAACTCTGTGTTGTCTTTCATCAGTGGCACCTTATCATCTCGCGCTCTCCTTTTCTTTTTTCGTTCGCTCTCTCTCTCTCTCTTCACCTTCTTCTTGTGCTGGTTAAATTCACTGCACGGGTACATGCAGAGCACCTTTTACATAAATTTGTGTCTTATGCATCCCCATAAGCATGATATAATACTGCAGCATTGACAAGTCTGGCCTGAAATATGTTATTTTAAACCTACACTGGATATTTTTTTTGCATTATCACTACTAAAACCTGCAACTTTACTTAAAGGGGTCATATGATGCGATTTCAAGTTTTCCTTTCTCTTTGGAGTGTTACAAGCTGATTGTGCATAGATAAGATCCCTGAAGTTGCAAAGACTAAAGTCTCAAAACCAAAGAGATATTCTTTATCAAAGTTAAGACTCTGCCACGCCCCCCTAAAACGACTCGTTCTAACACGCCCCCACATATCTACCTCACTATGTGGAAATATTAGCATAATGCCGCCCAAATGTGCACGCAAAGAAAGAAGGCGTGGTTTCAGTAATTGCAGTTAGTGTTGAAGCAGACATGTCAGGGAGACGCGGTGTGTTTCTAGGCGAAAGCAAAAGCACTTTATTTGGCCTTCCGAAAGTAGATGCATTTAGGAATCTTTACATTTTTACATTTACACCTTAAATGTAAAGAATCGTTACATTTCCGACGCGTGCTTGCGGTGTTTGGCCAATCACAATGCACTGGGTCAGCTGGCCAATCAGAGCAGACTGCGCTTGTCGGAAGGAGGGGGCTTTGTAGAAAACGAAGCGTTTGAGAGAGGCGGGGCATAGAGGACCTACAATAATGTACAGTATTTGAAAAATAATGTGTTTTTTGAACATTAAAGCATGTCAACATATTCTGTTACACCAAATACACAAAATAATGATCTTTAAAAAAGCATCATATGACCCCTTTAATTACTTCTGTATGTATGTAAGCAATGCTGTGGACAATTTATATTTTACTTAAGAAAGTAAAGTTAAAAAAAGTATTTATAAATATTTAAACATGGATGTATTCAAATATTAAAAACATAATAAATACAATTATGAAAATCAAACCTATATATGTTTAAGTTTTGAAAGTTCTTACTTTTTAATTAGTACATTTTTCACATTTTGAATTATTTAAGTATTTCATATTAGTATTATTTTACCTAAGTCAATAATCAAATTACACTACAATTAATTTTATCTTTTATACTGCTTTTATCAATGTGATTTATCAATTTGACAAACTTGACTGAAATGTGAACATGGTTGACAATCAAACTATCAACAATTGTTTTCAAATGTCACATAACTATTCAATTTACGTTTTAATGATTTCAGCTGCAAGAGTGTTATGAGACCTGTCAGGACATTGAAAGAACTGGACAGGTTGATACAGTTTTATACAGATTGTGTGAAATCTCTGTATCTTGACTTCTTCAGTCAATTTCACTATTTAAGAAATTTTAATTTTAGGATCTTATTTTCAATGAAAATAAAAATGGAAACTTTTTTTTTTGTTTACTTTCACAAAAGTTTGTCATGATACTTAATTGACTAAAATTTCTGAAATGAATTGCATATTCTATTAGAATGTTTGGTGTCACTGGTCATACTTGTGTGCTGTCTGTTTGGTCATTGATTGTTCTGTTGCTGTCTGTCCGTGAGCAAAGGCTGGCATCAGGATATTAGTGTCCGCTTGATCAAACAAATATCAGATATTTGAGCGTCAGTAAATGATTCACCTGCAGTGTTTTAGTGTTAAGTGTTGCTTAATGTTTAAATAGAGACTTCCAGAATCTAGGTCATGCATCAGTCATTTTAGGATGCTTAAAGGGATGGTTCACCCAAAAATGAAAATTTGATGTTTATCTGCTTACCCCCAGGGCATCCAAGATGTAGGTGACTTTGTTTCTTCAGTAGAACACAAACGAAGATTTTTTACTCAAACCGTTGCAGTCTGTCAGTCTTATAATGGAAGTGAATGGGAATCACGGCTTTGAGAGTAAAAAAAAACATACACAAACAAAACCAAAGTAAACCCTGCGACTCGTGACGATACATTGATGTGTAAAGACACGAAACGATCGGTCTGTGCAAGAAACTGAACAGTATTTATATCGTTTTTTACCTCTGATACACTGCAATGTCTGAACAGTCCTGAGCGCGTTCTCAACAGCCGGCGCGTGACGCGTCTTCTTCTTCTTGCTTTACGGCGGATCGCAGACTTATAAGTGCATTGCCGCCACCTATCTCTCAAAATGGACCATTGAAACTCTATCTACAATCTTAATTAGGAGTGTCAATAGTGCATCAGAGGTAAAAAACTATATAAATACTGTTCAGTTTCTACATCTTGGATGCCCTGAGGGTAAGCAGATAAACATCACATTTTCATTTTTGGGTGAACTATCCCTTTAAGATGGCAAGATGATTTATCTCTGATTAAATTGCATTTTAATGTTAGAGGATCCAAACAAATGACATAAAGTGAAGATGAAAAAAAAACTATATATGTGTGTGTGTCATTAGAAAATAGTAATAAGAACTCTTTAGTACATTCTAAATGTAGGTTAATATTGCTGTTTATTACATTTGCTTGAATTTTCTTGGCAGGGATTTGAAGCTAGACAACATTCTGCTGGATGCAGAGGGTCACTGTAAACTGGCAGACTTTGGCATGTGTAAGGAGGGAATCCTGGAAGGCATCACAACCACAACATTCTGTGGCACACCAGATTACATTGCCCCGGAGGTACAGTATTTCACACTCTCACACACACAAACGCACAGTGATAGTCTCATTTCTACTGCTTGGTTCTCATTAAAGCTATGAAATATTATGTTCATGATCCCTATCATTTTGAAATGGTCAGATATTTCTTGTTTGTTTTATTGATATTTCACTAGTTTTCATATTGTGTTCCTCATTCATGAAGCAAAAGCAGAGATACTCAGTAAATTGTTCAGAAAATTATTCTTATGTAATCGACACATTTGAATGCTTTAAGTATGGTTTTATGAATAGTTGTTATGAACATAGACTAATGTTTTGTGTGTGTTTCTTGAATGTGGCCCAATTAAAGTTTTAGTTTTAAGTGTTTTCCACTTTCGGTTTAGTCTTAGTCTTAGTCTTATCCCTGATATTCAGATCTAAGAGTTTTTATCTTATGCTTACATTAATAACTATCTGCGGCTGCGGAACTTAACAGAAAACTACAAGGAAAAAAAATAACTCTGAAACTTCCATGGAATTGGGAATGCCCCTCATTCATAAATTTCTACATATCCCCTGTCACTTGCATTTTTTTAATCAACCATATTATAAAGCCTTGCATATGAAATAATAATCAGAAATAAATAAATGAATAAAACATAAAAAACAGAACAATTTTTTGAACCTTTAGAAAAATACGTCTCAATAATACGTCTTAGTAAGATGATATTGAAATGCTTAGTTTATGACCAAAGCTCTGTAGTTGTTATTGTGGAGGTAAAACATATAATGCAATACAAAACAAATGAAAGTTCCTGAAAGTTGGATATTTGATACTCACATTTAAACATGATTTAAAAAAGAAAAAGGAAAATGATGCATGGATAATCAAGTAAAATGTTGCTTCAGTCCAGAAAGTATTCATCTGGAAATAGTACTAACAATGTAAAGGTATTCTTACCTTTACTTTAGAAAAAAAACAGTAAAGATTTCACAGCAAACAGACACATGAACCATAACCTGAAGGTGGACATTTGTAGAATGATACTAAAATACCCTTTACTTGCTAAAATTTGCCAATAAGAGTGTAGTACCCTCATCGTCATTTAATACTTTACACGATGTGTTAATTAATTCTGCACGAATCTGCAGGGTTTCCTCCCAAAACCAGCACACCATATTTCAGAAGTACCTTCTTCTGGGTCTGAGCTGGACCTGATCATGTATATTCAGTATATTCAGCTTCTGTTGTGATTTGTCTTTTGCAGATCCTGCAGGAGCTTGAGTACGGCCCGTCAGTGGACTGGTGGGCTCTAGGTGTGCTGATGTATGAGATGATGGCTGGTCAGCCTCCTTTTGAAGCTGATAATGAGGACGACCTTTTTGAGTCTATTCTCCACGATGACGTCCTATATCCCGTGTGGCTCAGCAAAGAGGCCGTCAGCATTCTTAAAGCGGTACGTGTCCGGATTTACTCTTGGATCACTCTGGGGATTCCTAAGAATACATTTTACCTGCTGATTATTACTAAAGACATAGGTTTGCGAATAATACCTCTTGCCACCTCTTAACCTTTCCTTTTACTACTGTCTGCTTGCTCTTGCACTCTTCTTGATAGAACAGATAAACGACACTCCTTGTGGGAAAAGAACAGATTGTTTGTGTGCCCTGCTGGATTTTTGGGTTGTGTAATCTCAGAGGTCTCATTTCAGGATATACAGCCCACCAATGCATGGGTTCCTCCTCTTTTAACTGTTCAAATTGGTTAAGTGCATAAAGAGCTAAGGAGCATTTTATTGCTCAGAAGCAGGTTTTTTAGGTCTTTTTTGGTCCTTTTTTTAGGTTTATGCTTCATTTATAAATCTGCTTTGAAAAATCAAAAGTATGACACAAATTGTGGACATAGAAGTATAGAGCTCTAAAATGAACGTGAATAGTAGAGCTCAGATCATTCTGTCTTTAAAAAATGTTATGAACTCTTCTGAAACTCTTTAGAAGACATACATTATTATTTCATGAAAATGTCATCATTTACTCACCCATATGATTTCATTTCTTCTGTGGAACAAAGAATGAGATATTTATATTTTCTTGCAGCTCTTTTGTTTTCCATACAAAATTTAAATAAATACATAATTACAAACATTGATTGATTGATTGATTGATTGATTAAAAATAATCATAATCATAAATAAGACCATACAACTTGTGTGCTATATTCTGAATAATTTTAACCAATTTTATTTATTTTTTTTTTCAATTAACTGGATTTCCCGGTTCATATCAGACTAAATGATTCAACCTCTTCAAAATAGCCAAAGAACAAAATAGGCCATAATGTTTGGAATGACATAAGTAAATGATGACAGAATTTCCATTTTTAACTGAACCTTTCTGATTCCTCTTAGGAAAAGTCTCAGTTTCGTCTCCATTTCATCATGTAGAGAAACAATTGAGATATTAAAACAATTCCAATGAGAAGTGTCTTTTCAGTCAGTCCTCATATTTATTTGTCTGGCTTGTTAGACTTGTTTCTCTGAGTGAATTTGTATGCATGACTTCTTGTGTTCTTTCATGTTTCAACATTTTTCATGTTTGATCAAGGGTTTTGTTTAAGGTTTTTTTTGTGTGTTTTTTATAACTGTGAACAGCATAAACCACATGGAATCTGATCTTTCTGATGCTGATTTGGCACCTCCAAATGTGGTCCTAAATCAGATACAGGTGTTTTGCAAAGCGACCTTAGTCTGAACAGTCATATCGGAGCTCATGTGACTTTTACGTCACTCTATAGATTGCCATTCGTCACTATGTTGATGGGAGTCACTCCAAAGGTTTTACATATCGGTAGTTCTTTGATCACTCGGTTAATTGCTGCAAAATCATACAGTAAGTATTACGACGACAGCTCTATACAGGCAAAACTTGACGGAAAACTATACGAGACAGTCTTCTCATCCTCATTTTTGTCCTGCTTAATGCCTGTGCACAAATTTGCTGGCTTCCGCGGCACATCACCTTATAAATCAGGGGTGTCCAAACCTGTTCCTGCACTGCCACTATCCAGCAGAGTTTAGTTCCAACCCTAATTAAACATACCTAAACCAGCTAATCAAGGTCTTCAGACTCTCTAGAAACTTCCAGACAAGTGTGTTGGAGCTAAACTCTGTAGGATGTTGGCCCTGCAGAAGCTGGACACCCCTGTTATAAATGAACGCATAAACGCTGACTTCAGTGGCCTTCCGTATGACAGTGTGATACGTGCCGTCTTTGTTATTATTTATTTGAGTATGCGGGTCAGTTCAGGACCGTGACCAGTTCACACTCAAATCTGATAATGGCTACGGAAAAAAAAATAATAATAAATGGATCTGAACAGAAAATCAGAATTGAGCACTAAGGCTTGAAGTATGAATGTAGCCATAGTGTCAGTTTGTGTGTGTGTGTGTGTGTGTGTGTGTGTACCTGGTATTTATCACGTTATGGGGACCAAATGTCCCCACAAGGATAGTAATACTAGTAAATTTTGACCTTGTGGGGACATTTTTGAGACAACATGTGTGTGTGTGTGTGTGTGTGTGTGTGTGTGTGTGTGTGTGTGTGTGTGTGTGTGTGTGTGTGTGTGCAGTGTGTGTGTGTTGCGTTTTTCCTTCACATGTCCAAGATTTACTTTGGCTGTCCTTTGCCCGTTTGCGAAGCTTTGTGGGAAAGTCAGGCTGTTTGTCTTGGACGGCATCATGTCACACTGCGATCTGTCTCACTGACACTGTGGTCACATGACCTATGGTCACCTCAGGTCATTCTTCCACAGGATGCAGTCTTATATCATGCATACATCATCACTGATCATCCCAACTCAACATAACACATATAGACATCCTCTGGTTAACATGCTGTCAACATTATACTTCTCTAATGTTTTCTTCTTTCTTCACTCCATTGTTTAGTTCATGACGAAGAGCCCCAGTAAGCGGTTGGGTTGCGTAGTGTCCCAAGGACTAGAGGAAGCTATTAAAGTACATCCGTTCTTCAAAGAGATTGATTGGGTACTTCTGGAACAGAGGAAGATCAAGCCACCTTTCAAACCACGTATTGTGAGTATCATAATGTGTGGGATACTGTAGATAGTCACTCTGTTACAAAACCTAGTGCTGCCTTCTAAGACCTTCTTATGTGCATTTATCATTTCTACAGAAGTCAGTCCCATAATGCACTGCAAGATATATGTTGAGTGATTCAGTATCAATGAATGTCACTAAAAATAGTGGTTTTATTAAAAGTTGACTTGTCACTTTCAAATTCAAGTGGCTTTTTGTTGGTCATTGCGGTGAATGACCAACTTCTTGTGAAATCTGTGTGGGGAAATCTTTTGCCCTCATGTAAAATTCCTATTGAAATGACTGGATTTTGCTCACGAAAGTTCGCCATTTCAACCTTTTATATATACTGTATATATATATAACCATGTTCAACAGCGGAATTCCTGGTGAAAAACTACATTACCCATGATTCTGCAGAAACATCCCCACCAATCAGAGAATCATGGCACAAGAACATTTTGGCACCCAACCACTCCCATGAAGCACTGCGAATGACGTCGAGTTAATTTCCCTACACTCTTAAACTACTACAATTTTTGTATGCATAATATGCATATTTTGTGATCAGCTTAAAAGTTTCTATATATAATCAACATCTTTAAATCAATAGTTTTATATTTCTTCATTGTTTTTATTTTGACCATCATTCGCAATGCCTCATGGCCATGGGATTGAAATTCTTTTCCTCATTAAAGCCGTTAAGTACGCAGTCTTGTATCTTGGGTTTAGGGGCGGACTTAGTGATTTGGGGGCTCTAACCAAACTTCAGGTATGGGGCCCCAACACAATAACTATGTGTTATTTTACGCCTAACCTTTATTTTGCTCGCTCACTCTCTCATAGTTTATAGTTTATTTACCTCTTCACAACTTAAGTAAATAATTAGTCAACCTGATGCTGTTCTAAAGCCATATTAGGCTTATTTTTTTCTGATCACTAAAGAAGACATGCTTGCACTTGTCCATTTAATGAATTGTAACCTTCTTCAATCTCTTTACTAAAAGGATTCAAATGTCGTAAAATTATCCCATGCAACTCGTTCAGTATTCCAAGTGTTCTTAAGGCATACGGTAGGGTTTTTGCAAGGAACAAATCGAAAATGTAATCTATTATTAAGCGAAAATCTCCAGTCGCATTCGTGCATTTGTATGAGTGAGCTGCAGATTGCGCCGGTGCGCGCATAGGAAAAGCACATAAGCGAGTCATTCACTTTAGTTCATTGCGACCTCACGACGTTCCGTTAATCAATGAAGCTGTCTGCATTGCACAATTAATCTCTTATTTACATCGTATCTACACATTGTTCTAATGAGTGAGTGAACATTTGAGCGGTGAGTGAAATTTTGACAATCTCCAGAACACAAATATACACTGGAGCGTTTGCCAAATATATTTCTCCAATATCAGATGGGGCCCACTGATTCCCCGGGCCCCTTACCTCGCTAATTGGTTAAGTCCACCTCTGCTTGGGCTTTTTGTCAAAAGTTCAAATACTTTTTAGTTTAATGTTGTGATTAGCCTGGTTAGTTTGGTTCATGGCTTATAACGCTTGAAAAAAAAAAAAAACTTTCTAAAAATCTCTATAGGAAAATACTTCTGGAACCAAGACTGCTAAAAAGTGGGAGGACACTGTTGAACTCTATAAACTGTTACGTCTAACAGGGTTTTAGACCAATCAGATTTCACTGTGGGTGGGAACTAACCAGTAAGATGCCACAGAAATACAAACCAATCAAATGTCTTGTTTCCCATCTTCTGTTGCGCTGGCTAACTAGTTAGGAAAAAATTCAGCATTTTCTTTTTTGAAGAAAGAGGGTATACTGTTTGACACTTTATCACGTCGTGTTTGTTAAACACAGTTTAACTCTGTCTCAGCACAGACATAATCACTGGCCTGCATATGCAGTTATCTAGAACATTACAGTACTTCAGCCCTCATGCTTCTTTGAAGTGTTTGTGTCACATTTCTGTTTCTGGTAGTGTGAACAGTGGGATATCTGAGATGCTCTTGGACTCTCAGCACACATCAGACGCTGTACTTTGATACAGAGATGCATGCTGGCTGCTGCAAGTGTGTGTGGAATGCCTCTCAGAGAGTGTGAGAAGGGGCCTGCCTGTCCGCCCCATTCTCACGCCTGCTCACAAACTGATCAGAGCTCTTAGAGGGTGAGAGTGAAAGGAGAGGTTGGGAGAGTTTTTTCTTTTTTTAAATGCACCGATATGAGGCAGACAAAATGGAAATATTTAGGTTTTTTTTGTTTTGCTTTTGTTGTGTTTTGTTGTTGTTTTTGTTTGTTTGTTTTGGTTTTGCATTTTGTTAATGCTTTTGTTTTGGGGTGTGTGTGTGTGTGTGTGTGTTGTTTTGAAATCACTTGGACACCATTCACCAATATTATGTAAAATAAACCCCAATAAATTATGTCAAAAAGATTGCCAATCCATGATGTAAAAAGATGGAAGTATGTGAAAGCATGTTTGGATAGAGGCACCTGCAGGATTTCTTCTAAGGTTATGCACACAGGGTAATTTTTTTTGCAAAATAAATAAATAAAATAAAAACACTGAAAAGCTAGTATATATTTTCACTGTTTTCAGTGTTTCATATATATATACACTATATATATATATATATATATATATACAGTATATATGCTCAAAATTCAACTCTGAGAGAAGTTTTAATTTTCTGAGTATGTCTAGCATTCTATTACAAAATTCTATAAGATTTGAGGCTTTTCAGATCAAATGATCAGCAGTGAGAGCAGTGGTCTTGAGACATGTTTTAAAACACAAAAATGGCAAATAGCAACAAAATGGTTATCCATCAAGTGCATGTTCACAAAAAAAAAAAACTGCGTAGGAGGACACAAAATACTCTCTGTGTGAATGGCCACTTATTCACATGACACGGCAGTAGCTGAATTTTCTCATTTATCTCTCAGAAAGAAGTCTTTTATTTCAATTGTTAGTAGGTGAATATCCATTTCATCCAGCGCTGTTTGTTCTCTGTTTCCTTAAAAATCCTCTCTGTTTTACTGACAGTCTGCTTCAGATGATTCAGTGAGAGAGAGTGAATTTGAAATGTTTTTGAAAGCCCATTTGGCCAATTTACTGAAAATAAAGAACCGACTCAAAAGAATGATTAATTCACAAATTATTGGCATGGCTGTTTCAGTTGACAGAAATAAGGGACACACATAATAACTGCTTAAGTATTTGCAGAGAAAGCGTTTCTCAGGTCAGTCAGAGCGTTCATGAGACGCACTGTGTTTCTACCTATACAGGTGCATCTCAATAAATTAGAATGTCGTGGAAAAGGTCATTTATTTCAGTAATTCAACTCAAATTGTGAAACTCGTGTATTAAATAAATTCAATGCACACAGACTGAAGTAGTTTAAGTCTTTGGTTATTTTAATTGTGATGATTTTGGCTCACATTTAACAAAAACCCACCAATTCACTATCTCAACGAATTAGAATATGGTGACATGCCAATCAGCTAATCAACTCAAAACACCTGCAAAGGTTTCCTGAGCCTTCAAAATGGTCTCTCAGTTTGGTTCACTAGGCTACACAATCATGGGGAAGACTGCTGATCTGACAGTTGTCCAGAAGACAATCATTGACACCCTTCACAAGGAGGGTAAGCCACAAACATTCATTGC